CCATGCCAGCACCTTTCACAATTGTTGTCGACGGATGCTGAAATTGTTAAGGAACGAATTTGAAACCACGATTGGTAAGAACAATTAGCGGGGCAATAGTAAAACATACATAAGCGAAGAAATGGTAAAATTGGTACTATTTATTGCAGTTTTATCGTAAACCTACCTGGAACAATCGAGAAATGCAATGACCCATTTCTGGACAAACAAATAACAGATTTCATGAGTTGCTCCCATGCATGGGTCAAGCTAGTCGACGTGGTAAAATTCACCAAAAAAGGTAAAGAGAGAAAGGCTATTTAATCAACTAACGCGTTCCAAACTATTTTCAATAATTCCAAACTATTTTTTTTCCGCAAAATTGATGAAAAAAACCAAAAAATTCAAAGATTTTAATTTATGAAATCAAATTGGCGTTTTTTGCAGACAGTTTTTAGGGACTCTGCGAAAAACAACGTATTGAACTAAACGAGACATCATTCTATCAACTGCGACCTGAGATAGATAAGGTATCTGAATTTCAGACACCTAAAACAAATCTGAGTTTGCCAAAATCTTATATATTACCGACAAATGATAAATGGGGAAGCTGAATTCCAGACATCTAAAACGGCTCTAATCTGCCAAGATCGTGTATATTAACCGACCTGAGATAAATAGGGTGTCTGAATTTCAGACACCTAAAACGGTTTGAGTCTGCCAAAATTCAAAATATTTTAATGTTAACCGACAAGCGATAAATTTGGAAGCTGAATTTCAGACACCTAAAACGGTTTGAGTCTGCTAAAATCGCATATTTTAACCGACCTGAGATAAATAGGGTGTCTGAATTTCAGACACCTAAAACGGTTTGAGTCTGCCAAAATTCAAAATATTTTAATGTTAACCGACAAGCGATAAATTTGGAAGCTGAATTTCAGACACCTAAAACGGTTTGAGTCTGCTAAACTCGCATATTTTAACCGACCTGAGATAAACAAGGTATCTGAATTTCAGACACCTAAAACGGTTTGAGTCTGCCAAAATCTTATATATTAACCAACCTGAGATAAATTAAGGTATCGGAATTTCAGACACCTAAACGGTTTGAGTCTGCCAAAATCGTATATTTTAACCGACCTGAGATTAATAAGGTATCTGAATTTCAGACACCTAAACGGTTTGAGTCTGCCAAAATCGTATATTTTAACCGACCTGAGATGAATAAGGTATCTGAATTTCAGACACCTAAAATGGTTTCAGCCTGCCAAAAATTCAAAATCTTATGTTAACCGACAAGCGATAAACTGAGAAGCTAAATTTCAGACGCCATAAACGGCGTGAGTTTGTCACAAATCTGATATAAACAATTAAATGAACCGAGATTAAAGGCTGAATTTCAGTTTGTACTGTCACCGATCGTGTACTGAAATGAAAAGCACTTTTTCAGAGTGTAGCCCAATTTCAGAAAAATATTGGTTTGACTGTTTGTTTAAATCATATGTGCATAATTCATAAATCAAACACATCTAAGCAGAGATGAGATTTTAGAGCCAAATTTTAGTCCGCGATCAACGTTTTATGGGTTTTCAACAGCGGACACCTAAAACGGCTTGATTCTGTCAAAATCTTATTTATCAACCGACAATGCATGCAGCGAAACCGACCAGTGAAAAATTGGGCAGCTGAATTCCAGAACCTAAAGCGACTTGACTGAGTCTGCCAAAATTTAGTTTACCTGCAGACCTTCACATCACAACCAAAATACTAAAGTCAAATGCAAAGAATCATGTATATAGAATTATATAATTAGTTTTTCAAATCACAAAATTTTGCGCAATACGTTTCTTGCTTCTTCTTCATTTGGTGTTAAGCATAAAACATTCCTGCCTTCCTTCATGGCTGCAGCAGCTCCAGCAACTGAAACAGTCATAAAAATAGATCAATTTAGTTGGAATGTTATACTGCATAACATTTAATTATGTTTTTTACGGGAAACTACTTTAAAATATACTGCGCGAATAGGTGAATAAACTGAAGGAAGAAAGCTAGTGATCCAATGATAGTGTAAAGTTGCATAGTGGGACACAGCTAATCAACCTTATCATTTTAGCTCCCATATTGAAAGGTTTCAATTTTGCATTAACAAGAAAGTTTCTCGAAATTTTTGTCAACTTGACGAAAAGCCTAATTAACATTTAAATAAGACAAAAGAAATTGTCTAAATAAAGTTCAAAGCGCTGAGATAGTTGAATAAACCACTACGAACAGAAATGACCTTCACCACTGACTAGATGATTGACTATGTCCTTTGAATCCGCCAGCCATCAGAACAGTGTAAAGTGAAACTTCACAGTAAAAGCGGTTAAGGTGGCTCCCTACAGTTTTGATTGTGTAATGCGCAATTGTGTTCGAAAGACCATTATTTTATCATCTTACAAAGTATGATCACGAAACTTGGCCACATAACTGCTATGATATCGCAAATTACGAAATATATAAAATTTCGTAAAATATCCTCGTTGCCATGGTAACATAACGATTTTAAAAAGGGCCAATTTGCAGATTCTGAGATATTTTTTTGAAATTTTCTTCGGTAAAACTTTCTACTTTTTTCCATACAGTAATCTTATCCATAATTCTTTCTAATGTTAGCATTTAAAAAAAATCGTACGAGCACTTTTTTTTAAATCCTCAAAAAATCCTGTTTTTTAATTTAAAAAAATTCGGCTCGTACGATTTTCTTAAAACTTGCACATTTTACGCATTTTACGATTACAGAAAACTGTGTAAAGTTTGAAAAGAATTTACCGAAGGAAAAACGAAAAAAATACATTTATTTTTATGTTTATGACGTCACAAAAATCAGGATTTTAATTTCCTCGCGCGACCAGTCAACGTCCCGCGAAGGCCCGCGCGTGTTTATCAAAAGTTCACAATGATAAATTTTAAAAGATCCGCCCTGCGTGCAACATCAGCCACGCGTGTTGCGTGTACTATTTCGCGCGCGACAAAATTACCGCGATACAACCATAGAACTGTAGGGAGCCACCTTAAGTTAAATTATTTTTTTGTATCAACGATTAACAACACGATTGCACCTGTTGTTTCCAGATAATTCATTGTAACTAGTCGGCAGCAACAATGTGAACAGTGCATAAAAAAATTATTAGTATTTCATCAGTACTGGTATAATTGCATACCTTGTGGCGTATTCACGTCAAGAATCCAATCGCCTGGTCTACTGAACATTTCAACTACAGAATGCCACACCTCCAACTCCTTGTGCTCTTGACTTACAATAATAAAATTCTCAGTGCAGGCAGTGAAATTAAAATGATCTTGCAGCAGCCGTTGCCCAGGCGCCGCATGGTAGAGGAGAAACCCCTCTACAGCCCGTACCATACCAAGGCTAGGACCTGTAAAATGCAGGAACAATGCGTAAGTTAATTTTGTTGTATGCATTGCAAAATACGGTTACAGTTTACAGTAGGTATGCTTTTATGCGTGTAAATTTGACGTATTTTCGAGTGTACGTGAATTTGAACTTCTAATTTTACAGTTGAATTGCAGAAATAACAAACGCAGACAAGTTTAACTAAATTTTGTTACAAAAATAAAATATAAAAACATTGCATCGCAAGAACCTCTAGAAAATACCAGGATGCTGTTTTAACAAAATAATCTATGGTGAGCAGAAACCCAAAAGGTGGATTAAACAAAATGATTAAGGACCTTACGATTGACAATTACACCAGACATGCGGCTAGCTGCAATCGACAAACTATTGAAGATAGTATTTTGGGGCCAATTATTAGATGATAGAGCTTCGAGCAGTTTGCGAATTAAAATTGAGGCATAAATTCTCTACGACAGACACGGTTATCCCTTTGCCGTAAACGTGAACATTAAAATCTTACTATTTTAAACATGAATACATTGCCCGTTAATATGCTAATATATACCTGATGGTTTAACTCCTTTAACACATGCGAAACCAAGTTCGCAGATTCCACGGTGTTCCTCGATCCATTTTTTTATTTCCATTAATTGATGGATATCCCCCATTATTGCTACGTTGAAAATGTGGCACACACCAAAATTTAAACGGTCCACTAGGTCCAGCAAACCTGCAGCAAATGTTGTCACTTCATTTTCCTAAAAAAATCATTTTTAAAAAGAAAGTATTGTTCAGTATACACCTTTTTCACAATTATCACAGTTGTACATATACAGTACTATTGGTGCATTAGGTCAATGTTACATCACTATACTGTACCTGATGTGGTGAAAGCTTACATAAGGCTAATGAAAATCCTTTTTCTTGCCCGTATGACCCCTTGCTGCAGTTCCAGTGGGTCAACACACATGTGGACAACGCCCCTTGTTCCCTGGTCCATCAGAAATACATTGGGTGATACAACTAGTGGCTGGTCTGATTCCTCGATGGTCAGACTCTTTTGCAGATATTCCAAGTATTGTCTGAAAATAAGGTTGGTTTCATCTTTTCCCTAGTAAATAGAAACACAGCTCTACTGAATGTGCGAAACACAGAAAAATGTTTGCAGACTAAAATGGTCATCAAATAGGTAGCAGAATTGAAAATTGAAATCTTCCAAGGAACATGTAGCAGGGCTGATTTAATGTTTATTTTCAAGCTACTAGTAGTTTGAAATGTTTCTTGTAGTTTGAATTATTAATTTAGAAGTCAGTTCAAATACTCAACCTCAGCATAGAGAGAAGAGCGGATATTTTCCATTCTACAAACCTGGATCAAAATATCGAACTGCCTGATATAATACATATACTGTATACTTACTGTAAATTTCCTTAACTGGTCAACGCTGACTTTCTCTCCCAATTTTGCACTAAGCAATTCCCATTTACATCCAAGAAATGAAGAAATCACTTTTTGGACAGGCTTCAGTACTTTTGCACTCCTTGCACACTAATTTCAGTTCATCCAGACTGTTACTTTGGTCAGCAACCTAAAAAAAACAACAGATTTAGAATGATGATTGGATTTAATTTAAAGGGCACAATTATATTTTAATAAACTAAGTGGTTAATTAGTAAATAAAATTTTTAACAGATCACAGCGGCAAAAAAATAAGCTAAGGGGCATCTTACGCCTAAAAATGGAAGAAATATCTTTACCTGACCCAACAGAGCAACACGATCTGAAACGTCGAGGCCAAATAAGCATTTGATGTATGATGGCTTGAACCTCGGCTTTTCTTGTAGGTCCTTTGCCATTGCTCGCTGGTCTTTCAGAAGACCTTTTTCATATTTTCGGCACATCTCAAGGAATGACTGATAACCATCTTCTGGGAGAGCAGCAACAATTAAGAAATACATCAGAAAGATTTTTCTTCTAAAAAAAGTACAACATTTAACAAGAATATTAATTACTCAGTGTAAGTGCTTTATTGATCAGCAAGTTAATTTAAAATTATTTCATTAAACAGGTTTAGGTTTAGTACAGATTAAAATTACATCTGCTTTCTTTTGATAACCCATTCACTGGTGGCAAGACTTTCACTGGCAAGCAAACCACCTGGTGTTCACAATATATTACAATTGAATAAACTGAAAAGTTTACTCACTGTCTTTCCTAATATGTGGGAACATCTGTCTCTCCATTGCTGACTAGGAACTAAATCATTGTTCTCATTTTTGTACCAATGATCTCCAACTGCCTGTGAGCAACTTCCACCTACAGCAGAATAAAAAAATGTTTGTGATCACAGCTTTTTTAACCCACTGACTGGTAAATCACCCAAATGATTGCTGCTGCAATTAATAATTTGGTAGTTTCTACTGCAATTGCCTGTGGCAGATTACTGCTATTATTATCGTAAGTAACTCAGACCACTATAACCAATAATTTACCATTGACAATTTTGGTATGTACTTGAGAAAAATTTCTGGTATTTGACAAAGCAAAGTTGAATAAGTTAAGAAGTTGGGTACTCATTACTACTGTGACACTAATGGGTTCCTTAAGTAACTTGTTGACTGACTGTTAAACTATAACAAACAACCACTCCCTCTTAATATTTAACAATATTAGAATTGCCTTTCTACAGAACTTGCCTCATCTTTGAATGTCATTTCATGACGGAAACACCCAGTCTTATTATGCCTTGACGCCAGCCATAAAGCTTCAAAATTTGTTAACCTAACAATATTCTGCATATCTTCCCTTATACTCTTCACTATCAGGGTGCTTCTCTAAAAGTTGCTTTGTTGCCAACAAGTTATGCGTACCACCAAGTACCTCATACTGATAGCTGCTGACATCTGATTTTGAAATGTTCTCCTTTCTGTTCAGACCTTTTACCAACAAGTAAAGAGGTTCATATGAGCCATTGGGGTTACTTTCCATATTTTCCTTTAATTGGGCCAAAAATATTTCATCCACTTTCCTGATCATTCTGTCTGCTGGAGGTAGTTCAATATTGCCAACCGGAACATAGAATTGCTCATCTATTCAAAGTTATGAAAGACATGCATGATATACTGCCAAATGAAGGTGCACTTATACAACTTGAGTAAGCTAGAATGGTAAAAAGGAAACCATTGGGCAAAAAAAGCTGGTCATATTGAAAGAAGTAATTGTGTAGCAGGGATTTTAATTAAGAAAATGACTTGATAATTTAAGCCTTAATTTAAACTTGATAATTTCTGTAAAAAATTAATTAACATTCATTGTGGTTTAGTGGTTCAACAAAAAATATCATATGTATATATTTAATTTCTACATACCAACTTCGCATTCTTTTGCTCTTGTTTGGTATTGTAATTCTTTGGCCTCTTCATCTTGACACTTTTTCTTGGTTAGGGAGTACTCAGCTGTTCCACAAGAGATGAAGATCCCCTTTTTAAATTTATAGCTTCATCTTCATTAGTGATTAAAACAGGCTCGGAATCCTTGGATCCACCTTGATTTTGTTGATCTTGACCATCATTAGCGCAATCTTGCTTTTCTAACTTTTCAATGGCTTCATTGCATTTTGCAGCCCATTGTTGCTCATTTTCAGTCGCAACAATTTCGCGGAAAAGCCCATTGCTTGCTGACCAGTCATATTTCCCTGTGGAGAAGAAACAGTGTTCTCTTTTGCCATCTGCCCCTCGAACGAAAATCAACTATAAAATATGAATAAAATAATAATTTTTACATAGAATCAATCAAAATACAGTATTAATATATGTACGGATAGCTGGCATCATTATTTGAAGCATGTAATAGGTGAAACTATCATCCATAACGCGCTCATTCATTGTGTAGTGCCCAGTTTATAACACACTAGCAATATTTCTGTGTAAAAATTTTACAGAAACAAATGCTAGGACTAAGTTTCCAACCCTTGGACCAAGGGTTTTAAATTAATTTTAAAAAAGCTGACTTTGCGTTTGACACTGAATCATTTTCCTAAAACTTTAATCACTAATCTTTCACGACGTAGAATTTACGCATGTAAAATTCCAACTAAACGAAAGCTATTTGTGTTATTTTAAGGCTTAAATGTAGAAATGGATATTTGTTTATCCATAGGCGGCCCAGAACTGATCTCGCTGACCTCGCGCGATGACGTACCTTGTCATAATATAAGACTGTTCAGACAACATGAGGTCGCGCGAGGTCAGCGAGATTAGCGAGATCAGTTCAGGGCCGCCTATGGTTTATCATGTTGTGTTTGTTCGGGGGGTCCCACGCATCATACGTAGATCAGGGCCCAAATCACCGTTTCACCGCCCTATCATTCATTTTTTAATCTATGGCCCTATCTTATATACGCCCTGATCAATTAAAGGCATGCCAGTCATGCACTTATAGTCTCAAAATCGAATCATTATCGCCCCGTCGTAAAATAGGTGGTTTCTGAGGGCCGAGGCGCCATTCCTTTTTTAGAAAAGCTAGCACGAGCATTATCATAGACTGTCAGAATTCTATCATTTATACTTTGCAACCTCAAGATAGAAATCTGCTAAACATTGTAAAACTATAAAACTTTATATTTCAGTCAGGCTGCTCAATATGGAGTTTTATAAACTATAACAGTCCATTATTACTAAACCTGGCTTTAGCCATATTAATTTTGATGGGTGTATACTTCATAATGAAATTTAAATTTCATGCGATTATGTTACGGCGTGCATTTTGGTATATGACTTGTGAACGCTAAACGAAAGCTAAGTGAACCTCGGTAGGAGATTTTACTTGTAGTTAAACTATATCAGATATTGAAGGTATCAGATTTTTTCAAGGCAATGACACCCAGAAAGCGCAGTTAGGCGCTGGACTATAGTGAGTGGGGGAAAAGTATTTTAAAATCGCCTTACTGTATTTTTATACAACTAGTGCCAATATGGTTATTAATTCGTTACAACAAACATATAAACTAGGACTCAAAAGGTCGCTGGTGCACGCAGCATCTCATTTCAGCAGGTAGAGACCAATACCACAGTATATAATACCAAATATATTTACCCTTTATATACCCTTTAATATATAATATTATCTTTATATTAATCACAGTGAGAAACTCAAAAAATTAAAATCATACCTTTACAGCCACGCGATTCTTAAATTTTCCCACTTCAGCGCGCAGAACATGCGAATATTCTACACTATTTTTGGATGGCCGAATACCGTTGACAAACACGTACGCTTTGTCCTCATTTACTCGAATTGACCATTTGAAAGAAGGCATTTTTTAAAATACTGTTTGTTGACTGCTGAATAAACCTTGCTGAACAAAACTGCTGGTGTCTTTGGCAGAGGAAATAGAGTATATTTTGGCAAGGTTTTCTAGCGTCATACAAGGCCGGATAGCGTCATACAAGGTGATAGCGTCATACAAGGTGATAGCGTCTTCGCGGCTCAACGAATCAGCGTTCGAGAACACAAAGCCGTAGGTAACTGAGGAATTTTTCATTGTTAAAAGGTTCAAAACTCAACCAATCAAAAACGTTTATACTAATTAGCGACAAAAATCATAATAACGGAAAACATTTAAAAACTTAGAAGGGTGTAAGCTGATCTTAGTGAAAACCGGCTGCTTCCTAACTTCGTAACTAAGCTTGTCAGAAATATTTTGAAGAATGCGGTAAAAGACCAAAACGCATAATCCCCGAGCCGGCGCGGAGCGCCGTGCGAGGGTACTAATTCCGCTCGGAGATTAGGAGTTACACCCGGAACCCGGTAGAACATAGCCGAATCCAAAGTTGTCCAAATTCTTTGTCATGGACGGTCGCAATCTCGTACCCAGAGCCCGCGTTCCTTTTGGAAGGAAGCTTAGGGCTCTGGCATAATCCATTTTATTCTCCACAAATCGTGGGGAAAATAGCAAGTGCGCATGTGCAACGTATTTCAATATGGAGGACATGAGTAAATTTCACAGTTCAATCGACAACGCGTTATCAAAACTTGGTAAAGCCGAAATATCACTAAAAGAAGCACAATACGAAGCTTTAAAAGCCATAGTCATCAACAGAAATGACTCATTAGTAATATTGCCAACTGGTTACGGAAAGTCACTGATTTATCAAACCCTGCCATTCATATTCGACTATTTAGATCCCTCGCCATCATTGCCTGCTATCATTATTGTTGTTTCGCCATTAAATGCACTCATGCAAGAACAAGTGGAAAAGCTAAGTGAGAGAGTGAATACGATTGTTCTGCAGGCGAACGATAATATTAAAGAAATACATGCCAATTGCCAAATAGTGTTCGCTCATCCAGAAGTATTTGTTTGTGGGTACTTTCGTTCGTTTGCTGCTGCCATGAAAAAGAGAGTTAAAGCGATTGTCATTGATGAAGCCCATCTTGTTGTGGAATGGTAAATAATTTTTTTTTACTCATCCTTTCGTTTTGCAATAATAAAGTAATGTGTGCTATCTTTTCCAAAATACTGAAATGCAATCTTTTTTGTGTCATATAGGAAATCCTTTCGCCCAGCATACACCAAAGTCTCAATATTGTCGAGCTATTTCCCACATGCATCAGTTGTAGCACTGACTGCCACTGCTACTTTAAGCATGCAAAAGGAAATAAAGGAGTGCCTTGGAATGTCTCAGCCAGCTGTTATCACCGTAAATCCAGATCGCCCCAACATTTATTTTGCCTCATTTTCTAGACCAAGCAGAGGCAGAGATAAATTGCTTGAGATCCTTGAACCACTTGCTCAAGAACTTCAAACCAAGAGACATGACTTCCCATTAACTCTTATCTATGGTTCTCTTGAGACAATTAGTGAGTGCTATTTGTACTTCAGTCAAACATTGGGTACTAGTCAATATGATCCACCTGGTGCTGCTGCCTTGGCAAAAAACAGATTGTTCACACAGTTTCATGCTCAGTACCCAAAATTTGAGAGAGAAAGAATTGTTTCAGAGCTAGTGAATGGGGAGTCCAGATTAAGATTGTTATTTGTTACTGTGTCATTTGGAATAGGAATCGATATTAATAACATAAGGCGGGTTATACACATTGGTGTACCATATACCATCGAAGAGTACTTTCAAGAGGCTGGACGATGTGGAAGAGATGGCTTACCATCACAAGCATTGATCTATTTCAATAGTTTTGATTTATCAGCTGCAAAAAAGGAGATGTCAGATGTCATGCGGAAATTTGTGCAGGAACCCAAGTGCAAGAGAGAGATGATCTTACATCATTTTGGCCACAAAATGCCCAAACGAGACTTACCAGATCACACCTGTTGTGACTTCCACTGGAGATATTGTGAGTGTGATGACTGTGTGGTTAATAGTGCACAAAATAATGAAGACACCCCTATGAAAAGCAAATATGAAAGGAATGTTAATGACAAACATTTATCTATATGTACATGTAGTAAAACATCATTGACTGACATTGAAAAAGTAGCATTACATGATGCCTTGGTAAATTATCGATTAAGTCTACATGGATCTGGGCCTTCTTGTGTTGGTGGAGTGAGCTTGGCCACTGGTTTCAGTGTTGATCTTATTGACATGATTGTACAAAATGCCAAAGAACTCACATCTATTGAAGAGATAAAAGAAAAATTACCAATATTTGATGATGAACATGCCAAGAACATTTTTGCTATTCTTTCTGAACTTAACAGAGGTAAATTTCCCCCTTTATAAATAACTCTATTCACATTTATATAAGAGCATATTGTTCCTTAATAAGTTACTGTATATGTAAACAACGAGTTTGATCCAACACAAGAAAAACAGTATGAAAAACAAGGACAAAGTGCAAGTTTTTTTATCATTTTGAAGGTTTGGAACACCTAATGAGACACTACAAACAAGTTGTTTACACAACATCTCAAACTAATATGTATTTTGAAAGAAAACTGAGGTGAAAGTTGGCTTAATTTATGTAAGTTCTTCCTAGCTGGGTATTCAAACAACAATCTTTGTGTTTTCTCATGAATTACTTAAGTTAGATATATAATTATATATATCAAATATTGCACACATGCTGAATAAATGTAATGAATTATTAATAACCTCACTGAAATCTTAATCATCTTCAACATCATTCTCCAAATCTAAATCTTCATCCACTGTCATCATCAACATCATCATCACAATTTGATAACGTATCCCTTGCCAAACGTTTTTAGTCTTGTTAGCCACGTGAACAAGAATGTATCAAGATTATTAAGCGGACTTGTTGCATACTTGAAAATGCCTGTAAATTTCTTTTTGGAGTATGTTTGAATGGATTGAGAGGTTTAATTATCTGACCATCTCTATTTGTCTCTTGGTAGAGGCATGGGTATGGCTGGTTGAATCTGGTGAAACACTGTTCATTTCATCATAAGCATCAACAATCTTTTTAGCCATGTGAAGGCCTTTGTACTTCTTTCAACAGCCTTGAGGGTCTTGTTTCCACACATCCCTTTAAGCATCACTTTGGATTCTTGATCATCATTTCCATTGCAAGGTCATCGCACAATTTTTTTCCCAATCCACCTTTAAGATTGACAAATTGACCATGAATGAGACGATGAGCTGTTCTCTCTGTACAAAGAGCTTTGATGAGGTTATCACACGCATTGCCTCAAAAGCATATTTAGTGCCTCTCTTTCGGGCACGAAAGTACAACATCAATAGTTTCCAGTTAAGATACTTCGCTCACCATCCCCTTCTTTTTCTGTTCATTTAATTGCATTAGCATTATGCCCAGTTGGATGCACTGGGAAGCATAATTAAAAAGTCTGTCTTCATCAGGTGCACAATCAGTTGATGACTGACATGTTTTATCTTCTGTATTTGATGTGGTTTCCTTATAGGGCATGTTGGGAATGGCAATTAGCTTTCGTGGCCACAGGATAATTTCATTGATTCTTAGTCCTACATTTGAGCATCTGGTTCAATAGAAATTACAAGCACTGAAACATTCATAGTGTCTTGGTTTACAACATTAACAACTTTACCAACTCCAATAACTTTGTACCCAGATGTAGTGTTTTGGAGGACCAATATTACAACTTGACCTTTTCAAAGAAAAGAAAAATATATTTTATGTTTGCATGCAGGTTAAGAATACAACTTTGTACTATAGTTAAAGTTCTGTACCTGATAAAAGCTCTGGTAATGAAGATGGGACTGTACAAGTTGTTGGGAGCTTTTCCTTGGCTTGAAGTCGTTTTTTCTGTTGTGTTTGCCATGATTTTTTCAGCAGGAAGCTCAACCATAACATATTCATCAACAAATTGGCCAACGGTTTCTTCAAAAATGTTTCCTTCAAAATATTACTAGCATTCTCTGCTGGCAGCTCAATCCTTGGATGGAGTACTATCTTCCAAAACTATCCAAACCCGCAAACTTCATGAATTGAACAGCAAATGTAGGGCTTTGGTGGCAGATAGCATCAGATTTTCTTGCACTTTTGTAGTTCTTTTTTACAGAGGAATACACATTGGTCATATGAAACAACTGGCGGAGATGTACAGAGTTCCTATCTCTCTCCCACTCACAGACTGGGTTTGTATAGTTGTTTCCCAAATGTACTTTAAAGAGAGTATAAAGTGAAATAAGTACAATTTTGACTATATAGCTTTGAACTTTGACCATGCACTATATATAATCTCTTCTTAAAAATTTTTCTTTGCATGTATATATTAACCTACCCTAGAAAAGATTGCTTTGTGTGCCAAAGTGCTGGAAATTCAGTAATGTTTTTGAAACTTGTCAAATTGTTGATCACATCCAAGTCTAGTTTTCTTAGCTCCTGTCACTCTTTCTCTACCCAATAAAGTCGCCACACAATGGTACATTTACCCCCTTGAGATCTTTTCCTTTTCTTCTGTACTGCACTTTTGTCAGTACTGGATGACTGATATTTTGAGAGAGTGAACATTAAGCAGAAATTCTTGCATATGATCCAAATACTTGCATACATCAGAATGCTTTGATTGATTAAATGGAAGAATTGGCAAGCTAATGACTGTAGATTTTATGGCCATTTCATTAGAGGTACCTGCATGTAAAAAGCAACATTTACTATATATTAATTACAGTGATACATATTTCTAAATGATCATGCATTCAAAATTTTGAAAAATCTCTATCAAACCTAGAACAATTTTGGGAAAAATTTTGTTCAATTATAAGCTGTTGGAAATGTAATTAAATGGTTGATTGCATAACCCACTGGGAAGGCTATAACCAGCATTTAAATGAATATACATGCAACTCCTGCAATATCCTGGCATATAATATTTCAAAATAATTAAACAGTGAAGGACTATAATTCTTTCTTAATCACAGTTCCTAAATGCAGTTTATGCAATTTGGAACTGCCTTAATTGATATGGCAAAAACCAACATATTAACCATATAATATTTGATTTCTAGTCATATGTTGGTTGATGTTTGGATGAATTATGCCACTTTTAACCTGACATTATAATGTTAACTTTGTATAAATACCTATACCTGTGAGGTATATGGATGCAGACATTCTTTTGCAATAATACAAGCAAGGAAAGAATTCCACTAATACTCTGGATACCAGTACTGTGAAGTCACACTTTAGTTTTTTAGTTCTTCTTGAGATAACAGATATTCTTTGTTTTCAAAACTTTCAATATTGCTAACCAGTGGTGTTGTGTCATCTAGATTTTCAGATGCAAATCTGTCAAATGTGCAATACTGTGCCATCCAATGAATATCTGAGTTCTGGTGATTTTTCAGGATGATATTAGCCAGGATTTTAAAGTCTATATTATCAAAAACAATCCTCAGATTCTTTTTCTTCAACAAAATCAGATCACGAATGGTTGACTCACAATCACTTTCCAACATCATCCATAAGGTTGCGAAGATTGTCCCTTGATTGTGTGACACCAAGTTTACCCAATCGCCTGAAAGTCTATTGCCAAAAATAAGAAAAATTTCTAACATTAGTTAGTAATCAATGCTTATAACCTGCAACTACAGTACATAATTAATTTATGTTCATATATTTTCAATCTTATGTACCAGAGCTACAGTTATATAGCTATATATTTATCATTTTTAATTTACAGATACCTTCTCTGTTGCATGACCAGCTCCAATGACTACAGTATTCATTTTTTGAACCATTGACAACTCTCTGTTTCTGGTATTCATCAGAAGTGCATAAGCCATACAAATTGGTGGTACTGTCGGCCATCAGCATTAGATTGGGAGCAGCAATTGTAGTTAATACATTTAAAATATCAGGAGCTCTTTCCTTCATCTCATTCAATACCTGACCAACAAATATTTTCGCGCAGCTGAGAATGCTCTGATCTTGGTGTACGAAAGAATTGATGCAAATTTTTTTGAGCAGAGGGCTTTGGCAATCCTTATCGATTTTCTCCAGTATTAATTGCTTTCACACATCGCTCGATAACTGGTGTATGCCCGTGATCGCACTGGCTATTTCTTTTTGGCGTTGTCTTCATGACAGCTTGCACTAACTTCTTGTTCGGAGGAGTTAATAGGGCCACTGTCTCATTCTGTGAGAATGAAAATAAACATGAACATAGCCAATAATAGTAGCCTATGTATAAATTTAGTAGAAAATAGAAAATTAGTTGTATATGTACAAATAATATATTGCATTTACCTTATGCAGCACCATTTCATTTAGAGAATTTCTACTCCTTTTTCCATATCAGTAGACCGATCTTTCTTTTGAAATAAGTTTGGGAGTACCCTTTTCGTCTTGGTTAGAGTCCGATTGGAAGGAGAGGACGGCGTTGTGTAGTGGTATATTAAATTCGGTGCAAGCCTGGATGTGATCTTGGACTTGGACGGCGAACAAGCCGTGAGGGCAGGCTTTAGACTGGAAAATCTCGACATCAGATCAATTCTACAGGACGGTGGCTTATAATTAAACTTAGGTGCAAGTGTAATTTTTGCAGCAATCTGTGGCCTGGCTGTATTCTTTGATTTTTTTAGAGGAAGGCCAAAACACGTGACTGATCACTGTTTACAATGTTCATATTATTTTCACCGCTTCCTCGACCTCTTTTAAATCGTTCCCTATCGCAAGCTGATCGATTCGCACTTTCAGTTGCCATGAATAAGCTTTTAAGCTCATGCTCTTTCTTGAGTATTGCCAAAACTTTCAGTTCACATGATCTGCAAACGTACCTTGCAAGCCCATCGTCTTCATGTAACATTTCACTTGGTGAAAATCTTTGCAGACATTTAAGTATGCCTTCTCTGCGAGATTTTGCACCAAACAAGTCGACACGGTGTTTGTCTTGACTAATGTCATTGTTGCAAACACGGCATTTGCTCTGAAAAGAAGCTGACCCTTTCCTTACAATCTTTCGCGGGGTATTCATCCCTTTTTGACAGTAGTTGTTATAATTCCAGGTTTGTTTTTATTTTGAAAGCGCGCGAAGAACGAAAATTTCAACTTTAATCTGATTGGTCACTTTTCAAATCTGGAATCTTGAGTATGCGCAGTTCAAACATTGCAACGACCAATCAAATGAAAGAATAAAATGGATTATGCCAGAGCCCTAAGCTTCCTTCCAAAAGGAACGCGGGCTCTGGGTACGAGATTGGGACGGTCGACGTTGGGTGGTTTTGTTAGATATGCGCATGCGCAAAATTTTGAACGAGTAAACACTGGTAACCAGTATCATCCTGATTGGCCAAGACAAAATGTTTATATTTAAAATACAGCGTCAGCAATTTAACTGTCTTTTTAAAAAGCCATTTAAAAACTTTTTACAAAAAAAATCTACTGTGCTTAAGACAAGCAAATTTTTCGTTAAAATCAATGTCCAATTTGGAAACCGAGATGCAGAAGGAAGCAGGTTATCACGAGGAAATGCTGGCAAAAAGAAGGGTTAATCATAAGGCCAAGATGGATAAAGAAACGGCAGAGGAAAAGCAGCATAGGTTAGCAAAGCGAAGAGATGCGTACAAAAAAATGGTCAGGGTAAGTACATGCGATGAAAGAGGAAAGAAAAGAGATAAAAGACGTGAAGAATCTCATCAGCAGACGTCGGAAGAGAAAGGACGTTCTTTGGCAAAGCGAAGGGCTTCTCATAAGCGTAGAATTGAAGCGAGCTCCAGCAAGGTACTCGAGAGACGAAGGGAAAATGCACGACTACTTTTGCAACAAGAAACGTCAGAAGAAAAGGAGAATCGCTTGGCGAAGCGTAGGGCTGCTTATAAACGGAGAAAAGAAGCAAGTACAAGTGAAGAAAGTGAGATGCAAAGGGAAGAAAATAGAGCTAACGCAAGAGAGAGAAGGCGACGTGAAAGTGTCCAAAAGCGAGCAGAAAGGCTTGAAAATGTGAGGAAACGAGCGAAAAGATCCTATGAGACAAGGTCAATACCACAGCAGGTACAGTCAGAAAACGATCAGGTAAGACTGTGTGATGAGAATGGTACAAATGATGATGCTATAAGTAGTTCAGACCAATATTTGCATGAAGGTGGTTGGAAAAATGTTGACAACCTCAGAATGAAATGCACAGTTTTCATTTAGATCAAGAGCATTTAGAGCATCGGCAGTGTACAATTTGTAAAGAGACTTGGCCGACAAAGCAAAACTTGGCAGCAGATCCCTTCGTTTGCTACCGGTGTCAAAGAGACAAGAAATCACCAAAGAATTTCAGTGCTGGCAATGACATGGACCCAGGTACTGTTCCAGAGCAATTGAGAGGTTTGACACAGGTAGAGGAAATGCTGATTTCAAGGGTTTGCCCCATCATGCAAGTCTACAGAAAACATGGTGGGCAAAGGGGCTACAAAGGTCATGTGCTAAACTTACCACAGGATATTCAAAGTTTTTTGAATAGGTTGCCTGCACAAGTGGCTGACTTGCCTGTTATGATTGTGCGAAGGCAGGGTGCTGATGAAACACATAAAGATTTTACAGTTCGTCGACACAGGGTGTTTGAAGCTATATTGTGGTTGAAAACAAACAATCCATTTTTCAAAGATATTGAGATTGACAGGGATATTATCCAAAGTCTACCTGAAAATGGTGTCCCTGAAGAGCTAAGGTATATTATTGATGACAATGAACTTCCAGTTCATGTTGAAAATGAGGGCCCCCCACAAGAACCTGTAATGAGTGCTAATGCAACAGTTGAAGAATTAGTTTTAGGAAATGGCAGTACATCATTTATTCCTATGCGGCAAAGACAAAGAAAGGATGGTGCAGCTATTCAAGATGCAGTGAATGAGGTTGACCCTTTAGACTGGCCCTCAACTGAAGGTAATGCTGTTAATGAGTTTAAAACAGATGGTTTGGCAAGCATGGCATTTCCAACACTATTTCCCCATGGGAAAGGTGACCCAACAAACAGAGTCAGGCAGCATGAGGAAAGTTTGGCAGAGGCATTCAAACACCTGATGAAGTTTGCAGAGAGGCTGCCAAATGGTAAGTTTGAATGGAGGTTTGCCTCACATCCCCGGTTCCCATACTGGGCGTTGAATATGAAGCAGAGACATCAGTTGTTGTCACAAGCTAACATTTACTTGCGGCAACATCCAGCGGATGCAAACATGACTATGGAGGAGCTGAAAACAATGGTAAACTCTATGGGTGCAAATCAAATGGTAAATCGTTTGCAACGTTATGTTTCAAAAATTCAGGGTACAAATCAGTATTGGTATCAGAGACTGCAAGAACTGTTAGCCCTGATTGAACAAAAAGGTTGCCCTACCTTTTTCTTTACCTTTAGTGGCCAGACTTGCAAAGACTATTGCAAAGTAACGAGGGGGCATCAAGAACAGAAAGAGCACAAGCAGTGATAGACAATCCACACCTGACAGATTGGTTTTTCATGCAAAGGCTACAGAAGTTCATCAAACATTGGCTTGAAGGTGTCTTGGATGCTGAATGGTTTTGGTATAGGTTTGAATACCAGGCCAGAGGAAGTATACATGCTCATGGATGTGCTAAATTAAAGAATGATCCAGATATTCGATTATTACGTAAACGTGCATGCCAAGCAGTGCTTGAGAAAGAGAAAGAAAATGAAATGTCCCCTGACGATTTTGAATTCTCTTGCCAGGAAATTGTCAGAGAGGGTGAAGATGCGGAGAGAAAGCTAATTAGGTAAGGTTTGTATGTATATCTTAAGTATTATAAATGATTTACACTCACCACATAAATACGCAAATTGTGTCCACGGTATAAGCTGCATGTGCATTATTAGAAATTCTTTGTATGTGCTGTAGAAAACTTAAAAAACATTTTCCCCAGACTTTTAGTTTTAGCCTACTATGTGCTACAATGTTGCAAATTTTGCTAAATACAGCTTCCACATACATTCACAAAAAAAACAAAATTCCGTATATTTTCTTTAGAAACTGATATTTCCTAATGCTAAGGAATTGAGAGTGTAAACAGCAAAGTATTTACAATTATGGAAAAATATATATAAATTAGGTGTTATAACCATGTTATTTTTATTTCTTTTAAAGTTACGTTGACTGGCTTGTGACCACAGTTAATGATGATCTGCCTGATGAGAACTGGACACTACCAGATCCACACCCTTCTGCTGTGAAAGCAACATCAGTTGATAATCATGATGTTGATTATCACAGGTTAGTAAATTCAGTAGAGAGGCACACCAGATGCAGTCCAGCGTATTGCCTGAAAAAGAAGAGGGTTGACCTGCCTGCAGAGTGCAGATTTGGGTTCCCAAAACCATTACAAGAGGAGACTGCACTGATTTATGAGGTTCGAGGTAAGAAAAATAAATCTGTACACTCAGAGTTGCAAACCAAGAGAAATGATGAGAGGCTGAATTCACACAACAGGGTCATGCTTGAGAATTGGCGGGCCAATGTGGATTTGCAGGTAATTGTAGATGAAAAGGCATGTGCAAGATACATGGCCAAGTATGCAGCGAAAGGGGAACCACGATCAAAATCTGCTTCTGACATACTGAAGTTGTCTGTATCTTCATTACAGAATGATGACCAAGTGTCTTCTGCAATCAAGAAAGCAATGATTCAAGTTGCTGGTGATAGGGACATGGCTGCTCAGGAGACTGCCCATATGTTACTCAGTTTGCCTTTGGTAGGCTGTACGTATAGTTTTGTTACTGTTTCTTTAGAAAACAGTAGAAAAGTGATCCTTGATGCAGAAAATCCACAAGAGGAAGTACTTCAGAATTCTGTTCTTCAAGATTATGGAGAGCGGACAAAAGTGGAGAGTAGGTATAGGGGGTTATCTCAGTTGAATTTGATGCAGTATGCATCTCAGTTCACAAGAGTCAGAGGTGAGTTGACAAAACGAGTGAATCCTTATATTGTCAGGACATTTCCAAAGCTTACAGCCAATCCTGGCAGCCCTACCTTTGGAAAATACTGCAAGTATCAACTCATTAAGTTTAAACCATGGGAAGATAAGTCATCAAATGCATGGGACAATATGGAGGAAACTGATGATATGTTTATTAACACATATGCTTCATTTCTTCAGACAGATTTTGCTAGAGACAATGTATTTGGGTATTCTATTGAAACAGAGATGGTCCATGCTGCACAGACAGATGAAACATATGGAACTGATGAAAGTAGTGATGAAAGCGATGACGAACAGGATCAACCTAATGAGGAAGAGCAAATTGAGGATTGGATGTTGTTATGTAGACTCAACCAACATTATGAGGATGCAGGAGATCAAATGGCAAATAACGAGGCAGTGGATTGGTTCGAAGCAGCAAGAGGTGTGCCTGGGGATTTGTTGAGAGAATCTGCTGGGTGGATTTCTAAACAGAGAAAGGATGCAGAGGAGCAAGGTATGCAGTATCAAACAGGTGACCAACAAGTGGTGGTTGACCCAGGGACCTTGAATGACAAACAGCGACTGGCATTTGACATTATCACTGCATCCATGGCTAATGATGAATGTGAACCACTACATATGATTGTAAGTGGTACTGCTGGCACAGGTAAGACATATTTAATTAGTGCCCTAAAGCAAGTATTGCAACACCAATGTATTGTCACAGCAACCACCGGAATTGCTGCATTCAGTATTGGTGGTCAAACTTTGTATTCCGCAGCTCAACTTCCGATTCGGGAATACAGAGAATTACAGGGCGATTCCTTACAGAGATTGCAGCTCAGATTGGAAGGTAAGAGGTTTCTCATTATTGATGAAATGTCAATGATTGGACATCAGATGCTTTCATGGCTTGACAACAGACTACGTGCAGGTACAGGAAAAGAGGATATCCCATTTGGTGGGATGTCGATTATCCTAATGGGGGATTTCGGCCAGTTACCTCCTGTAGGCGATAAACCAATGTACATTGCAGGTAATGGATCTGTAATCAGTGACCATGGTCACAGTATGTATTTAACATTTGATTATGTAGTCATTTTAGAGCAGGTCATGCGACAGATTGGTGAAGACCCAGAAGTAGTTGCATTCAGGGCGCTATTGATGAGAATGAGAGATGGACAAGTTACCGAGATGGACTGGAGACTATTAATACAGCACTCCAGACCTAACGTTTCAATGGATCGATTTAGTGATGCAATCCGGCTGTACTTTGATAAAAAAAGTGTCGCTGAATATAATTATGAGAAGTTGCTAGAGATTGGACAACCCTTGGTCAAAATTCAAGCAAGGCATTCTGGTCGAGGTGCAAGTGCGGCAACATCTGATGAAGCAGGTGGTTTGGAAGCTGTCCTCTTTTTGTCAACCAAAGCAGAAGTGATGCTGACATGTAACCTTTGGGCAGAAGTCGGTCTTTGCAATGGCTCTTTTGGAACTGTTGAGCAATTTTGGTTTGCAGAGAATATGGGTCCACCAAATCTACCGATTGCAGTACTGGTTCATTTTCCAGCATATTCTGGCCCTGCATTTCTACAAGAATGTTCAAAGTGTATACCTGTGCCTCCAAGACTGTTTGAGTGGATGGCGGATGGAAAGTATTTGTCAAGACAACAATTGCCCTTGCGGCTGAGGTATGCAATGACGATACACAAGTCCCAAGGACAGACACTAACCAAGGCTGTTGTTGATTTAGGTAAAGGGGAGAGAGTTGCTGGCTGCACATTTGTGGCAGCATCTAGGGTAAGATCAATTAATGATATTGTGTTTGAACCTATGACATTTGATCGTCTGAAAGTCATTGGTAGGAATAAAAATTTGAAGAAGCGACAAGAAGCGGAACGACGACTTCGTGTGCTTGCAGAAAAGACTGAGCAGAGGCATAAGCATTGAATATATGCATATAAAGATATGGATTGTATTGTAAGTTGTTATATCCTTTTGTTTAATGATACTGGGCACCAATGTGCTTTCGAGGAAATCATAGTCGCCTGCTACTAGACACAATTTTAGAAGTGAAGTTTGTATGTCTTATTACAACTTTGCCTCTATAATTTTGTTTTTGAGGATGGCAATGTACTGTACATGTGTCATATTGCCTGTTACTAGACATGATATCAGGTATTATGCTTTTGAGGGTGGCTGTTGACATGTACACTATATCAATCAGGTAAGTTACCTATTTACAATAACAATCAATGAAATGAAAACCACAATACCATCGCGCGGGGATATTTCGTGATTTGCCTGGTAACAATAATAAAGTACACGCAAAATTCACGTATAACATAAATTTCAAAAAGAGCGCGAAAATATCCTGCCGATATCCTGCTGTTTTTGGACTGCGGTAAGTCTTTTTCAAAATAAAAAACTTTATAAAATATTAAACATTTCAAAATTCGCTCGAATAAATTATAATATACTATTCCACAGTCGACAATTTGATTTACCAATTTACGCACAGATATTTTAGGGAGAAACTTCTGTATCCTTTTTATTGCATTTTAAAATTGGCATGTTTTTCCAACGCCGACGCGTATTGTCTTTTGTGTTTAACTTTTCTCAATAAACTAATGAAACTATTGTATTTCTTATATATTTTACAGCTACAAAAGTCATAAATATTATTTAAAAAAATGTAAGTTTGCTATTTTAATACATTTCTTTTCTCAAAAATAACATTTCAGTAGCTATATTGAAGGAATTTTAAGCTTGCCTCGAGTATACAATGTATTTTAACCGTATAGTGCTTTTGAAATAGTATTAAAATATGTTTACTCAATATATTTTTATGTTGATGGCATATAAGATCATCTACAAGGAGAGAAAAAAGTAAGATTCAACCTCTTTTCTACCAGTTTACAAACCACTTTTCTCATGGTTGTAGTGTAATGGTAAACGTTTTTACTATTACTGATTTTTCTATGTATTTTAGTGGAAAATGAAGAAGAAGTACTTGGTATGTTTACAGATAGGCACTTGGCCATATATAAGAAATACATAATTTGTGGTAACCTTTTCTTTTCGCACATGACAAACATGCCATATATATGAAACATAGATTCATTCTCAAAGACATAAATCAATTTAGTGTGGCCTTTATAATACTCTGGCCCATATTTACACACATACTGTAGTATAAATTTAGCAAAGTACTAAATATTGATTAAAGATTTTGCCTCTTGCATTTTAGAAATTGAAGTTGATGCAGAGGGTGATGAAGGTAAATAAAAAATATTCAAAGTATTAATCTAATTCATTTGTCGCACTGTTTTCATTTTTTCTCACAACAATAAAGTGTATAATACATTTTATACACAAATTTCCCTTCACCATAGATCTAAGAGAAGCAGAGCAACCTGCCGTGGCAGTGGATGGGCCAGGTGAGCAATCCTGTAGCTCCCCGTGCACAACTAAAATACTCTCATTTTATCACAGTAAATCCTGTGCCACCACAATTATATCAACAATGCACAAGTTTACAATATTATTATTGACTTAGCCATATATAAAGAAATATATATACATAATTTGTGGTATATAACCTCACATTTTTGTTATCCGTTACAGATTTTCCAATGAGCTAAAGACCACAACCCAGCTCAACCCAATTGCCTTCCTTCTATAATTTTACGTACAACCCCCCCCCCCCATTTTGTAAAAATGTTGTCCTTGTGGTGGATGCATGAAAATCACATCTATGTATTTTGTTCATTATTGAAAATCACATCTATGTATTTGTGTATTATTGTTTCATTTCAGAAGATCATCCACTCCCTGCACCACAAGGGAGAGGCTTGCCCCCAGGTATTATTGTATCATTTAATTTTACTGAAATGTAATGTATACCATTTGCTTCCAGATAGCTTCCAATTTTTAAAAACTTTTTGTTATCAATTTAATATCCTAATTTACGCGATGTGTCAACCAAGTTTGTTACGTACATTTCAGAACATCATCCGCTCCCTGCTCTTCGGGGGAAAGGCTTGCTCCCAGGTATTAATTTGTATAATTTCATTAGTGTTATTACCTATGTAAACACATAACACTCGATCAATAATGGTTACATTGCAATGATGCTCAAAATGACATCTCCTCTCTTTTAGGTTTCCGTGGACATATTGCAGGTTAATAAAGTTTTATTGACAATGGTCAGTTAATTCACGAATTTAGTTAGCCAGAAGACCAATCATTTCTTGATATTCCACCTTAGGGCGTTGCTACAAGTGTGGCGTGCGGGGCCATCGTGCTCGCGCCTGCCAATCGCGTATGTATTTAATACCTTATGGATTGCCATGTATTGTATAGTCACGTGAACAATTGCAAAGTGGTGTGATGTTGTAAGCATATAACCTTGACTCTAGGGCTAAACATACCAAGCCCGGTGTGACAGAAAGAATTCAGAAGGTCTAATCAAATATTTAAACATTGCTAAAGACGCCGCTGGCCATCACAATGTATGAAAATAATATACACGGCTAAAAACTCATCAGGTTGTTGCATCAACATCGAACAATGTTGTGCTGCCCATATTGTTCAGAGTTGTTATCAACTTGGAACAATATTGTTACACCCGATTCAGTTCCAACAATATTGTTCCAAGTTGATAACAACTCTGAACAATGTGGGCAGCACAACATTGTTCGATGCTGTTCATATCAATGTTGCATCAACCTGATCGTTTTTAGGCGTGTATATAATGACTTTTTTTTTCTTATAGTGACTTTTTTTCTTATAGGGGCTGTTTGTTGGTTGTGTGGCCAGCGGGGCCACACAAGGGTTGTGTGCCCCCAGCGGCAGACTGGGCGCACAACACAAAAACGAGGGCAGCAAAAGCCCTCAATGCAATTTACAAACTGCACGTTTGAGAAGTTTAGTGCTTAAACTTCTCAAACGTGCAGACTAGGCTACGTTGACATATAATCTCTATACCATCATTGATTTTTAACGTTAAACATCACGCATTCTATACACAAGCAAAATTGACATTACGGGTTAAAAGGCGATTCAATCAAACAATTAATGAGATATCAGCATGTGAAAAATGAGCCAATAATGTTTTCAATCTTAATATCGTTCTCAACAATTCGACTACCCGATGAGAAATCACTGTATGTCAACGTAGCCAAATATTGCGAGTTTGTTATTTTAACTGTTATGTAAATATTAAATTTGTTCTGTTTTAAAATGTTTTATTTTTTATTGTAAATACTTTATTTTGTTAAATATAATATGATTTTCACACTGTTTCGGAAATGATGTTGTTGCATTAAGGTCCGGCGAGAGGTCACTGCATGCAATGTATTTCTAGTTGTATAGTTATGTCGTCGCCTTGCGGGTTTGGATTTTCATCCTCGCCAGAACCGGCGTCGCCGTCCACTATTGAAACTCTTCGAGAGAGAGAAATAGAAGGCAGTTCGCCTATCGGTATTGGATTCAGCAGTAACCATGAGAACACGAGGAGTCCGCAAAGTGGTAAGAGATCACAAATAAGCAATCTGTATACTTGAATATAGTACATGAACTATAGTCTATATCTACACAATTTTTATGATGATATTTAGTGACGAGCTCTCCTGGGGATTGAACGACTCCTGTTCACTCACAGTTATCTAGCCTGTACTCTTCGCCTGTTGGAATTGGATTTAGCAGCAGTGACAACGAAAACACACTAAGTCCGCTAAACGGTATGATATGTTACATTTCTACGTGTCTAAATAGATTGAGATTAGAAAATATATTCACCTGTATTTGGACAAGCGTTTTAATAATTTATTTTGTTCTCCATTTTCTGCTAGTCGCCAACACTCCTCGTA